AGCCATACAGAGAAAGACAGATACCATATGGTTTCACTCTTATGTGGCTCCTGAGAAACTTAACAGGAACCCATGGGGGAGGGGAAGGAAAAAAAAAAAAAGAGGTTAGAGTGGGAGAGAGCCAAAGCAAAAGAGACTCTAAAAAACTCACACCACACTGGGGTTGAGGGGGGGGGGGGGGGGGGGGAGGTGATGGGCATTGAAAAGAGCATCTTTTGGGGTGAGCACTGGGTGTTGTATGGAAACCAATTTGACAATAAATTTCGTATAATAAAAAAAAAAAAAAGAAAGAAAAGGAGGGTTTGATTCTCAGTAAATGAAGCCAAAATCTAGGTACTCAGAACTAGTGGCCAGATAATGGATTGAAGATGAAGGTACTGGGTTTAGATAGGGTGCTTGGAAATCGTTCTGTAATTCTAGCCTTTTCTGTAACAGATAAAGAATCCTGTGAACAAGCTTCTGAAGTCAGTGAAGCACAGACTACAGATAGTGATGACATAGTGACACCAGTATCTCAGAAATGTCCTAAGGCGGTAAGTACTCTGGGGTAATCATCCTCGTGTGAGTGTGAGCCAAGCTTATAAACAACGACATTGTGCTTAATGGCCACATATGTGAAATTATTCCATTTTTAATGAACTTGATGGGAAAATCAAGTTGTTGAGTTAAATTTGCATTGCGAAGGAGTGGAAGTTTCTTGAGACAGCCTCTGCTGAAAGGATCACTTTCTTGATTTGGTATAAATGGGGATTTTTTTTCAATACTTCTCTCCTTTGTCTGGATCCCCTGCCTGTCTCCTTCATTGTGCGCTGATTCATCTCCAGCCTGAGTAATGCCCATTTCTGAAGTCCACCTAAGGAGAACAGATGTACTTTGGGAGGTGGAAGCTAGAAAAGAAGAAAGGGTTCTTTGTGGGAAAGCCCAGAGAGATTCCGTTTCTGAAGTTTTTGACCCAAGTTTTAAAACTTGTAGATGCAATTCTTTTTTTTTTTTTTCAACGTTTATTTATTTTTGAGAGAGAAACAGAGCATGAACGGGGGAGGGGCAGAGCGAGAAGGAGACACAGAATCTGAAGCAGTCTCCAGGCTCTGGGCTGTCAGCACAGAGCCCGGCATGGGGCTTGAACTCACAAACCATGAGGTCATGACCTGAGCTGAAGTTGGACGCTTAACCAACTGAGCCACCCAGGCACTCCTGTAACTGCAATTCTTTATTGAATATTTCAGCCTCGGATCACTTGTGGGACTAATTGGGGATATACACACACAAATATATGAGTAAATATTCATGGGTATATTCAACCATTATTGTATTAGAATCTTGTGTGGTTATAAATGAGGTAGGAAACAATCACTGTCTTGAGCCATTGGAATGCTCCCTGACACATATGTGGTCACTTAATAAATATGTGTTGAATGAGTGACTGAATGAAAGATTGAAATCTGATTGAGGATTATGAACTTCATTAGAAACAATATAAGTACAGTGTGACCTAAAATCAAGTGGTTAGATTATGTGATAGAAACTCCAAGGTTTGTGGGACACTTGGGTGGCCCAGTGGGCTAAGTGTCTGAATCTTGGTTTCGGCTCAGGTCATGATCTCATGGTTCGCTTTGGATTCTCTCTCTCCCTCTCTCTCTGCCCCACCCTGACTTGTGTGCACATGCTCTCTTTCTAAATAAATAAATAAACTTAAAAAAAAAACCTCTAAGGTTTGTAAGAATTCAGAAAAGGGAAATCACTGCTGCTTTTTAGAAGTTGGAAAACTCTTCCTTGAGAGTCAGAACTTGTACCGATGGTTTGCACGCAACTAAAAGATATTGGTGTGGAGAGAAACAACTCAAAATCAGTAGACTTAAACAGTTGAGAAAGAAAATTTTAAGTATTTTCTTCTGAAGCTGTATCTGCCATATCTTTAACCATCACACAATCATATCTTGAGAAATACTTGTAAGACAGATCAGACCAGGGAATGTTGCAACTGGACAGTGACTCCTTAGAGATCATAAAGGTGAAGATGAATGTGTCCAGTACAGAGAGCTGGTTAGCAGAAGAGGTGATCTCCAGTCAAAGTTTCTAAATTAAGCCACCTCTCAGATCAACCTTAAAAACTGGTCAGCAAGTTTTTTGAACTACATGTCAGACATACTACATTTAAAGTATTATTCAAGGGGCACATGGGTGGTTCAGTCGGTTAAGCATCTGACTCTTGGTTTCAACTCAGATCATTGTCTCATGGTTCGTGATTTCTAGCCTGACTGGTTCGTGATTTCTAGCCCCGTGTCAGGCTCTGAGTTGACAGTGCAGAGCCTGCTCAGGATTCTCTCCACGCCCTCTCTCTTCCCCTCCCCACTTCTCTCTCTCTCTCTCTCAAAATAAATAAATAGACTTAAAAAAATTAAAAATGAAATATTATTCAAAATTAAAGGCTCCTAAATAAGATCTTATTAGAAAAATCTTTGTGCACCCAAAAGTGATTTGACAAGCTAAATATGAAAACTGAGCTTACTTAGCAAAAACTTAGTGTTATCATCAAATTAAATTTATAACACAGGCACATATAGTTGACCTTTGAATGATATGGGCGTTAAGGACTCAACCCTCTGTGCAGTTGAGAATCCATGTACAACTTTTGACTTCCCCAAAACTTAACTACTAACAGCCTACTGTTGGCCAGAAGGCTTACCCATAACAAATAGTTGATCAACACATATTTTGTATGTCATATGTATTCTTATGATAAAGTAAGCTAGAGAAAAGAAAATGTCATTAAGGGGGGCACCTGTGTGGCTCACTTGGTTAAGCATCTGACTCTAGGTTTTGGCTCAGGCCATGATCTTACTGTTGGTGGGATAAACCCCCAAGGCTAGCCAGTATGTAGTCTGCTTGGGATTCTCTCTACCACCACCCGCCCCCCTTCTCTTTGCCTCTCACCCACTTGCACTCTCTCTCTCTAAATAAATAAATAAACTTAAAAAAAATCATAAGGAAGGGGTACTTGGGTGGCTCAGTCTGTTCAGCATTCAGCTCATGTCATGATCTCATGGCTCATGAGTTCAAGCCATGCATGGGGCACTGTGCTGTCAGTGCAGAGCCTGCTTCAGATCCTCTGTGCCCCTCTCTGCCCCTCCCCCTGCCTGTGCAAGTGCTCCTGTGTGCTCTCTTTCTCTCAAAAACAAATCAACATTTAAAAAAAAAAGAAAAAATCATAAGAGAAAGTAAGGTTATAGTACTGCACTGTATTTATTGAAAAACATCCACATATAAGAGGACCCACGTCATTCAAACCTCTATTGTTTAAGGGTTGACTGTACAAAATCATTATTGTATTTCAGAATAGCTGGGCATAAAAGATCAAAGAGGTTGAATGACCAGAGATAATATTTGAGCTCTGTCACTTCTGTTTGGACTCAGCCAGGATAATGGAAGAAGCAAGAGAGTGTAGTGTTAAGAGCATGAAGATTTGATTCAGGCAAAAGTGGTCTAGATCCTGGCTCTGCTAACTTTGGAGGGGTTATTTAGCTTCTATTGGGCTTTCCTTATCTGGTAATATTAAGTATGCTTACCGTTTAGTGATGTGGCAAGATTTAAATAAGGTAATGTGTGATAAGGGCTTAATACAGTGCCCAAGACAAATTAAGTACTAAATGACAATGATGGTGATATTGATGATGATAATAGTCTATCTTCTTTGAAATATTCTAGTTCTCAAGGTCATGCTTCTGTGATCTGGTAGTGCCCGACACAAAAAGAACTAGACCATAAAGGGAGGGGATTGAAGCAGAGGGGTGTCATTTCCTTTCTGACTCCCAGGTCAATTGAGTAGGTTGAACAGTACAACTCAAAGAAGACCCTTCCAAGATGTCTTTCCCTTATACTGCTAAAAAGTGAAATGGTTACAATACTAAAGGATCTTTGCCTCTCCTTGAGTCCAGGATTAGGACAGTTCCTGTGTTCATAGGAGGTATGTAGGGCTGTTTCCCACGAGGCCCTGTCTGTTAATCAACACAGGGTTCCTAAAGGCCCTCTATACTTACCTTCTCTCTAAGAATCCCCAGGAAATTATCACAGCCCAAACCACATTTCTGGTCCCAGGAATCAATCTTCCACTATGAGTAGACCATAGAAAACGTTTCCATCTCCTTTTTAGTAGCTACTAACTAGAGCAGAACAATTATTTCCATTTGCTCTATGGCCTTAGGTTATGGTCTTTTATTTGCCATAGTGTGTATCAAGAATCTCAAAGTTTATTCTCTTTTGTTATACTCTTTTTTTAAAAAATGTTTATTTATTTACTTTTGAGAGAGAGAGCACACTCACATGAGCAGGGGAGGGACAGAGAGAGAGGGAGGCAGAGAGTCCCAAGCAAGCTCTGTGCTGTCAGCGCAGAGCCCGACATGGGACTCAAACCCACAAACTGTGAGATCATGACCTGAGCTGAAACCAAGAGTTGGATGCTTAACTGAGTGAGTCACTGAGGCACCCCTTTTTTTGCTTTCTTATGAATGACATTAAACATTATGTATTTTTCTTTCTTTAAACTTATTTTGAGATAATTAAAGATTTGTAAACAGTTGCCAAAAAAGGTACAGGGAGGTGCCATGAATCATTCACACAGGTTTTTGCATTTTTTTTCTTTTTTGTTACACAGTATTCAGAAATGTGCCATCAGTAACATTTTGGGAGTCCATCTATGTTGATATGTTCAGCTTTTTCTAGTTCTCTTCTCTTAACTGCTGATCAGTTTTAGTTAAGATAATACATGACCTTTTATTTAGACAGACCTCAGTGGGCAACACTGATAAACTTGATATTCATTAATTCACTAAAGCCACACAACAGCCCTTTGGGTTGTTTCCTCCTTCAACAAATCATTATGGAGTACCTGTCGTAGTACTTGGCAGGCTGTATGGACACAAAAAGGTGAATAAGACAGACTTGGTCTCTTCCCTCTTAAATCTTACATTCTATTGAGAGAAAACATATATAAATCAGTGAGCAACTAAGTAAGATACTTGTTGATTCTAAATACTATGAAGAAAATAAGTTGAGTAATAGTAATGGGAGAGGTTGAGTTAGGCATGTGTAAGGAAAGACTTCTCTGAGAAGGGGACATTTAAATTTTTTTATGTTTATTTATTTATTTTGAGACAGGGAGGGAGGGAGGGGTAGGGGCAGACAGAGAGAAAGAGAGAGAGAATCCTAAGTAGCCTACTTGCTGTCAGTGCAGAGCTTGATGCCTGGCTCGATCTCACCATCTGTGAGATCATGACGGGATCCGAAATCAAGAGTTGGACTCTTAACCAACGGAGCCATCCACGTGCCTCTGAAGAGGGGACATTTAAACTGAAATTTGAAGATAGAGAAGGGAAGAGATGGAGGGAAATCATCTCAGGAAGAGGAACTGGCAAATGTAAAGACCCTGATGTAGAACAGTCTGGTTTATCTGAAGTGCTGGAAATCAAGAGGTTATATGTCAGTAAAACTGGGGGCAAAAAAGAAAAGGAAGAGGAGGAGGAGGAGAAAGAAAAGGAAGGTATGAAAGAAAATTCCTCTAGCCATACTTTAAATTTTTTTTAATGTTTATTTTTTGAGAGAGAGAGAGTGTGTGTGTGTGTGAGCGGGGGAGGGGCAGAGAGAGAGAGGGAGACACAGAATCCGAAGCAGGCTCCAGGCTCCAAGCTGTCAGCACAGAGCCCAATACCGGGCTCGAACCCACAAGCTGTGAGATCGTGACCCAAGCCGAAGTCAGACGTTTAACTGACTGAGCCACCCAGGCACCCCCCTCTAGCCAAACTTTTACATGAGCCTTGAAAGGAACAAATGTTTGATGACCATACCTTGTCACTTGAATTTTTATACAACCAGGTAATTAAAAGAGGGAAAAGAGAGGAAAAAAACTAACGTCACAGCGAACGTCTCTGTTCACATGTATCTTTGTGTATTTGGCAGCTGTTTTTGTGGGATAGATTCCTGGAAGCGAAACTGCTGGTTTTAAAAGGAATGTGCACTTGAAATTTTGATGGATATCACTAAATTATCAGCCCCCAAATTATACCACTGTCACCCTATGGTCACCTTTTCTCACAGTGTTACCAACACTTCTCAGCTTTCTCAGTTCCTGACTTTAATGGAATGAGAGTGTTTGTAAGGGAAGGAATCAAAAGTAATTTTGAAAAATTAAGATCCAGGTAGTGTGATGAAGTAACAAAACAAATTAAGAGTATGCTAGATGCTGGGACTACAGGGGTTGGTGAGGCAGACGTGTGTGGTCCTAGAACTTAGGTAGCTTAAAGTCTGTGAGGTGCTATCCCCAGAATTATAATGTGATACAAATGTAACTTAAAATTTTCTGGTGTCCATATGAAAAGTGTGAAAAGAAACAAGTAAAATTAATAATATATTTTAGGGACGCCTGGGTGGCTCACTTGGTTGATCGTCCGACTTTGGCTCCGGTCATGCTCTCACAGTTCATGAGTTCAAGCCCCACATCGGGTTCACTGCTCTCAGGGCAGAGCCTGCTTATCCTCTGTCCTTCTTGCTCTCTGCCCTTTCCCTGCTTGTGCAGTCTCTCTCAAAAATAAATAAATAAATAAATAAATAAATAAATAAATAAATAAATAAAACACTTAAAATAATTTAATAAAAAAAGAATACATTTTCTTTAACCTAATATATCTAACGCATTATCATTTCAGGGCACCTAGGTGGCTCAGTCAGTTCAGCGTCCGACTTTGGCTCAGGTCACAATCTCAGGTTGTGAGTTCGAGCCCCATGTTGGGCTCTGTGCTGAAAGCTCAGAGCCTGGAGCCTGCTTCGGATTCTGTGTCTCCCTGCTCTCTCTGCCCCTCCCCTGCTCTGTCTCTCTCTCTCTCAAAAATAAACATACATTAAAAAAAATTAAAGCACTATGATTTCAATATGAAATTAATGCAAAACATTACTGAGACACCTTACAAAGTCTTCGAAATCCTGTGAATTTTACACTGGTCATGCATCCCAATTCAGAGTAGCTATGTTTCAAGTGCTCAGTAGCCACCTGTGGCTAATGGCCATTGTGTCATAGAGCAGAATTGTGACACAATATTTTCCAAATGTAAGTCGATGTCCCCAGGCAATGAAATAAAAATAGAGGGTCCCAGCAAAAACAAACAAACAAAAAACTGAGAAAGAATAAAATACAAAATAATAGTTTGCATTGCACCTATTTAATATTTAACAAGGTTAAAAATTGTTTCAAGAGACTTTTATTTCAATGATTTTTTTTTTTTTTACACACACACATATGAATATGGATAGGCTGAGTTTTACAGTTTGAAAGCCACTGGTCTGGTGGTTGTTCATGTTTAACTATGAGGAAAAATGTTCATCCTGTTAGGCGTGGGAGGCTTTTTTTTGGTAAGATGTTGCTGGGGATTCGGGTACTTATATGACTATGAACACCTATTTCTTTTTTTTTTTTTTTCCCCAGATCTCAGTGTTTCCTAAAGTGTGTTCTTTGGAAAATTAAACCCAACCGTATCCAGGGAAAAACAAAAATCAATTGTGTAGTCAAATACGTTTGGAAAAAACTATCTTTGTATCATCCTCTAAAAGTGTCCAGAAACATCTTAGCATATTAAAGGCCATAGGTCAAGTTAAAGAATGCTGATAAGTTTGTTAATCTTGATTTTCCAAAATTTATTTTCTCACAGAACGATTCATTTATAAAATACCTATTCCTCAGACACATCTTTGAGAAATTCTGCTTCATTATTTTTAAAGAAGTTTAACATTGATGCAATTTTATTTTTTAAGTGTTTATTTTGAAAGAGAGGGAGAGAGTGTGGGTGCCCATTAGTGTGAGTACGAGGAGGGGAGGGGCAGAGAGAGAAGGAGAGAGAGAATCCCAAGCAGTCTCTATGCTGTCAGCATGGAGCCTGATTTTGGGCTCGATCCCATGAACTGTGAGATCACTACCTGAGCCGAAATCAAGAGTTGGGCATTTAACTAGCTGAGCCAACCAGATGCCCCAAGTTCTGCTTCATTTTTATTGAAACTGTAGGACATAGGTTTCTCAGCTTAACAATAATGTCAACAGTGGCATGGGAGAACTTTCTAGGGTAATGGTTCTGTATCTTGAATATGTTGATTACACACTTGTATATACGTATCAAAACTGTACACTTGGGGCATCTGGGTGACACAGTCAGTTAAGCATCTGATTCTAGATCTCGGCTTAGGTCATGATCTCAAAGTTTGTGAGTTCAGGCCCTACATCGGGCTCTGCACTGATGTTGTAGAGCCTGCTTGGGATTCTGTCTCTTTCTCTCTAACCCTTCACTACTTGTGCGCTCTCTCTCTCTCTCTCTCTCAAAATAAATAAACTTAAAAAAATTTTTTTTAACAGTTCACTTTAGGTTTTGTATTTTACTGTGTGTAAATTAACATTATATGTAAATGTATAAAAGTGAAACAGATTGCCAGGAGCCACCCTAGACGGTGGTATATAAGAGTGGCTTTTATGCTTTTTTTTCATATTTGATTTATTTTTTAAATTTACATCCAAGTTAGTTAGCATATAGTGCAACAAAGATTTCAGGAGTAGCTTCCTTAATGCACCTTACCCATTTAGCCCATCCCCCCCCCACAACCCCTCCCATAACCCTCTGTTTGTTCTCCATATTTATGAGTCTCTTCTGTTTTGTCCCCCTCCCTGTTTTTATATTATTGTTGCTTCCCTTCCCTTGTGTTCATCTGTTCTGTATCTTAAAGGCTTTTATGCTGTTTTAATCACAGACACTGTAAGAAACACATTTCTACTTTGTGCCCAATCCAATCACATATACACAAAAGTTTTAAGAAACAAGGCTTACCTATACCACTCTCATATTTTCTGTTCTATCTTATCTTATTCTTTCCTTAAAAAAAAAAAAAATGCTAAGGGCGCTTGGATGGCTCAGTCACGTCTGACTTTTGATTTCAGCTCATGATCATGATCTCATGGTCATGATCTCATGGTTTGTGAGTTCAAGCCCCGAGTGGGGCTCCATGCTGACAGTGCAGAGCCTGCTTGAGACTACCCCTCTTTCCCTCTCTCTCTCTGCCCCTCTCCTGCTTACACTCTGTCTCTCTCTGTCTCTCAAATGTGAATCAATGTTAAAAAAAAAAAAAAAAAAAAAAAACAAGGAAAGAAATATTGCCTTCTGAGCTTCCTTGGGGAAGGCCCAGAAGCTGCACTTCCTTCCTAAGAGAAAAGATGAGAGTGGGGGTAGATCTTTGGACACGAGGGCACTGGCCTGGCAACCTAGAGACAGGAGAGTTCTCACAGATGACGAGGGAGAACTGTGGCTGGTCCGGGCCATCCCGGGTCGACGTCTCACTAGTGTCATGACATGACTTGCAGCCACACCATGGAAAGGGAGGACTTAACGTTGCCCTCGGCTTATTTCTTGAAACTAGAGAGATGTCAGCCCTGTACCTGGTGTCCCTAATGCAAAAATGGACACACGGACAATCAAAGGAGAGGACGGTGGCTGTGGCAGCAACTTTGAAGTAGGGCTGAAAGTACTGGTGTTACCGTGAGAGATCAGGCTGGTCTGACTGCCTGTTCCGGGGCATGTATTTGGTGGGCGCAGGCAGTTCTGGGCAGCAGCTTTACCGCAATTCTCAAGGCTATGTTAGATGGAATATGTCTGGGATGGAGTCTGAGAGAGTAACGTGTTAATTGGAGTGTGAATACTTGGAGCATCACTAACCTACAGGAAATACATATCTTCCTTGTCAGAGGTCAGAGAAGATGTGCATCGAAATTGTCTCCCTGGCCTTCTACCCAGAGGCCGAAGTGATGAGTGATGAGAATGTAAAACAGGTGTATGTAGAGTACAAGTTCTACGACCTCCCCTTGTCAGAGACGGAGACTCCAGTATCCCTGAGGAAACCGAGGGCAGGAGAAGAGATCTACTTCCACTTCAGCAAAGGTGAGGCAGCCCCCGTGGTTGGCCGGGAAGGGGAGTCTGAGGGGCCAGGACTACTCTGCCCTTCCAATGGGGTGCATGCAACCGTTCTCTTTTCTCCCATTTATCAAAGTGATACGTGCATATAGGCTTACTAATTTTTTTGGTTTTTATTATTTAAAAAAATTTTTAAAATATTTATTTATTTTGAAGTTGGGTGGGGTGGGGGGCAGATAGAGGAGAGAGAGAATCCCAAGCAGGCTCCGTGCTGTCAGTGCAGAGCCTGACACGGGGCTTGAACTCATGAACCATGAGACCATAACTTGAGCCAAAATCAAGAGTTGGATGCTCAACTAACTGAGCCACCCAGGTACCCCTTTTTATTATGTTTTTGAATATTTATTTTGAGAGAGAGAGGGCACAAGTGAGTGAGGGGCAGAGAGAGGACAGAGAGAATCCCATGAGGCACAGAGAGAGAGAGAGAGAGAGAAGCAGGGTTCAGGCTCACCAGAAGTGGGGGCTTGTGCTCATCTGAAGCAGGGCTCAAGCTCATGAACCATGAGATTGTGACCTCATGAGATCATGAGCCAAAGTCAGATGCTTAATCAACTGAGCCACCCAGGCACCCCTTTTATTACTATTTTTAATCAAGTTTTCTATTAAAATTTTTTTAATGTTTATTTTTGAGAGAGACAGAGCACAAGAGCGGAGGGGCAGAGAGAGGGAGAGGGAGACACAGAATCCGAAGCAGGCTCCAAGCTCTGAGCTGTCAGCACAGAGCCCGACGCAGGGCTCGAACCCATGAACCTTGAGATCATGACCCGAGCTGAAGTCAGACGCTTAACTGACTGAGCCACCCAGGTGCCCCTTAAGTTTTCTATTTTAATTCCAGTATAGTTAACATACAGTGTTATATTAGTTTTAGGTGTACAGCACAGTGATTCAACAATTCTATACATTACTCTCAGCGCTCATCGGATGGGTGTACTCTTAATCCCCTTCACTTGTTTCACTCATTCCCCCCCCCCCCAACCCCGCACCTCCCCTCAGGTAACCATCAGTTTGTTCTTTATACTTAAGAGTCTGATTTTTTGGTTTGTCTCTGTTTTTTTCCTTTGTTTTGCTTCTTAAATTCCACACATAAGTGAAATCACATGGTATTTGTATTTCTCTGACTGACATATCTGGCTTAGCATAATACACTCTAGATCCATTCACAGTGGCTGCACCAGTTTGCATTCCCACGAACAGTGCACAAGGATTCCTTTTTCTCCACATCCTTGCCACCACTTGTTGTTTCTTGTGTTTTTGATTTTAGCCACTCCAAAAGGTATGAGGTGATATCTCACTGTGGTTCTTTTTTTAATGTTTGTTTATTTTTGAGAGAGAGGGAGAGAGAACACGTGTGCTCGAGTGGAAGAGGGGCAGAGAGAGAAAGACAGAGGATCTGAAGCAGGCTCCACGGTGAAAGCAGAGAGCCCGACATGGGGCTCGAACTCACAAACTGTGAGATCATGACCTGAGCCAAAGCCAGACACTTTACTCACTGAGCCACCCAGGTGCCCTCTCACTGTGGCTTTCATTCGCATTGATAATGAGTGATTTTGAGCATCTTTTCATGCGTCTGTTGACAATCTGTATCTCTGCTCTGGAGAAATGTTTGTCCGTGTCTTCACATTTTTTAATTAGATTATTTGTTTTTTGGGTGTTGAGTTGTATCAGTTCTTTATAAATTTCAGATACTAACCCTCTACCGGATATGTCATTTGCAAATGTTTTCTCCCATTTGGTAGGTTGCCTTTTAGTTTTGTGGATTATTTCCTTTGCTGTGCAGAGACTTTTTATTTTGATGTTATTTCCAATAGCTAATTTTTAATTTTATTTCACTCGCCTTAAGGGACTCGATCTAGAAAAATGTCCCTATGGCCGATGTCAGAGAAATTACTGCCTGTGCTCTCTTCTAGGATATTTAGTTTCAGGTCTCACATTTAGGTCCTTAATCCATTTTGAATTTGTTTTTGAGTATGATGTAAGAAAGTCCAGTTTCATACTTTTGCATGTAGCCGTCCAGTTTTCCCAACACCATTTGTTGAAGAGACCATCTTTTTTCCAATTGCATATTCTTGCCTCCTTTGTCAAAGATTAATCAACCATATAATCTTATGTTTGTTTCTGGGTTTTCTATTATGTTCCATTGATCTA